TTCCTGGGGCTGCTATAACAAAGTACCAAAACTGGGTGACAAACAACAGAAATTCCTTGTCTCACAGGTCTAGAGGCTCCAAGTCCAGAACTGCAGTGCCAGTAGTACTCTCTCTGTCAGCTGTAGGGGGAGTCCTTCTTGCCTCTTCTGGCTTCCCATGTTTCCTGGCAATCCTTGGGGTTCTTGGCCTGTGGAAGTATCACTCCAGCCACATGGTCATCTTATCCCAGTGTGTCTTCATGTCACCTTCCCTCTGTGACTGTCCCAATTCCCCCTTTTTAGAAGGACATGAAGCATATTGGTGAGGGCCCACCCTAGTGGCCTCATTTTAACTTGATTATCTCTGAAAGCCTCTACTTACAAATTAGGCAGCAAATTAGGCCACAGTTGGAGATACTGGGGTTAGGACTTACTGAAATAAATTTCTAGGCCCAGGATGGAGCCACTTCTGCTGTGGTGTCACGTCACCGCAACAGAAACTCAGATAACTTTTGTGTTCCTGTAAATGATCCGCTTGACCAGAAATGCAGAATATCCAGTCAGACAATCACCAACTGCCAAGAATCTGTCATGATTTCCTTATTCTAAATAAGGTCAGATACGCAACCCCAACCAATCAACTTGAGCTGGATGCTCTGTCCTTATTCCCTGGTTGCCCTCTTCTGTAGAAGCTTACGGCCCTGTCCCTTGTCTGGTAGTTCTCTGAACTCTGGAAGTGAGGACTGTATGCTCCATGAGGTCTGACATAACATTTGCTGAGATCAACTAAACGGTCCTCTTTGATTATTTTAATAGACTTAAACTTACCATTTTTTGGGGGGGACACAGTTCAACTTATAACAGGTAGATTCTCATCATTCCTACTCCATATGCTTTAAAATTGCATAGAGTTCTCCCAGATTTTATTATGTTATTTTTCACTTTCAATTTTTGATATTATACATTTTGTCTTTTATAGAATTTTTGTGGCTATTTTACTGAAAGTTTGGAAGAGTTATCATGGAGTTGGGATCCAGATTCCATTTTGAACCATATGGTGGTTGCTCTGCTCTCTTGAGTGTATCTTGCATGGTGATTTGGTAGTTTAAAGGAAAAATGGAAATCAGTTAAGTTAAAAGATTAGCAATGAGTTGATGAGGTGGATTTGTATTGTGTCCCTGGGTAAGCTTAAATCCCTATAATAAATCCCTTTTTCCATATATCTCCTAATGGTTCTGATTCTCTGTTCAAACGCTGACTGATATAGTTGATAGAGGAAGCAGCAGTTCAAGCTCTGAAAATCAGCCAGGATTTTTTTTTTTTTTAGATTCAACCCATCAAAAAAGTGAATCATGCACAATTTTGGAGGACAATTTGTTATATCACAGAAAATAGATAAAGCATCAGAACTGATGTGCTCCAAAACTGTGTTTCAGCCAGCTTGGGCTGGATAGCTGTTCCCATCTTGTTTTTAACCTAATCAAGTCAGGGATGGGCTTTAACTCAGCCCTGTCATTGCCTATAAATCTGTTCTATGTTTGTTGCAGATACCGTGTAACAAAATAATGTTAATAAAAATATGCAACTGATCATCAGTGCTCTGTCATGTTACCTACCGTCATACATTTACTAATGTATGAACACTTATGCATGTTTTTTGTTCAAAGACATTGTGTCTAGTAAGCACTAAGATACAGTTTTAAACAACAGCAGCCACCAAACAACAACACAAGCCTGGAAAAATATGGCTGGTAACAAGCTTTCTTTATGAACAACAAAATGTGACTAATACTTCCCTAGAGAAAAAATACACAGTGATGGATATTTACCTAAGTAATATTTTATGCCAAAATAGTACAATGATTTATAATATTACAGACCACTTCAGAAGCTGCTACAGGACACCTCGTGCAGATAGTGCATTGTGTGGTGCAAATTATAGTGATTTGTGGAAGTGTAGAGTGGAAGACTAGAGCAATAAAGAAAGAAGAATAATGTTCTTCTTTTGAATCATTGGGGAAAGCACAGCTCAGCACATGTCTCCGGGCAACTTTAAATAGTACTCTGAATTGAAGTTCAGATCTCTGAAATGTCAAACCTAAATGACAACGAGATTACATTGCGGGGGGAGGGTGGGAAACCAAGATGACAAGGTGCTCATTTAATGTTGTGAATGGTACATCCATAAAAGTCACTTATGGTGTGGTACAGTTAGAAGCACTGAAAGTTACTGGGGAAAGAGGGAAATGATAGTCACTCCTTAAATGAGTGAGGGAAGGGATGCCAACCAGGAGGCAGAACTTGGCTGGGCAAAGAATTTGTAATCTGGGCTTCAATCGTGATTCTGTTCCTAAGTCATTATATGACCTTCAGAAAGTTGACCCTAGACTGCATGGAGCAGTAGGTCCAGTTCTGTCTGCCTCACAAGTGGAAAAGAGAATCATATGCTGAGGAAACAGGAGGCGCTCAGTAGGTTCACCCCAAGAAGGAAGAAATAAATGCTCCTGCCGTTCGCAGGCTCTGTGAATGCTGCCGCGTCTGTCTTGTCCTCCTCTGGCCACATAATCCCACAAGTGGGAAAGTAAGGATGTGTCCAGGACAGGACTGGACAAGGAATCATAGGCCGTGCACATGTCTGTGACCCTCCTAGTGCTTTCCTAGGCAGTTGTGAATATAGCCAAGCGAATCCTTGAGAATATCTAAGTCACTAAAGAAACAAGAGAGGAAGAAAGAGAAAGGGACATTATTTTTTCCTTTTTAGGTCGGGAAGATATGGTTCACTTCCTCCAGGGCTTAAAGTGGATATTGTACTTTTAAGTTTAAATGAGTTTTGAGCACTTGCAGAGCAAAATGTTGTGAATTCAAAGTAATGTATCTGGAGAAAAGTCAAGAGAAAAAAATAGATTGTGCATCTGAGAAAGGCATGCCAGTATTCACAGCATGCGACAACAATGGGGCAACACCTGTTTTTGTTAAGAACACTTACTTGCTTAAATTTGAAGGGAATTCCTTCTAACCAGAGGCATTCACCTTAGGTCTGGGAAAAGGATGGTTACACATGTTTCCCTTTGCTCGAATGGCACTGAACTAATGGGCTGAAGAGTCAGCCAGGATTTGAATCCTGGAGGTGCATTTCCATGGCAGGAAGACCTGGGAAATGATTTATCATCACCAAGACTTTGTTTCCAAATTTGTGAAATGAGAATACTATCAGTTTCTGCCTCCTATACTTTTGCAAAGATCAAATTAAATAAGAGATAATGCAAGGAAGTCACTTAGGTTGGCAGTTGGAATACAGTCCACAGATGTGATCTGTCATTCAGTTATTACTCTTGTGAGAATAGAAATTCGAACAGAAATGCAATGAGTTTGCCTTCTCTCACCATGTTATTGAAGTAAACTTTGATCTGATAAACTCAAAGAGCTTGGAGCACAAATGGGTTTGTGACTTTCAGAGTGAATTTTGAACAGACATTAGAAAAACTAGGGTACTTCATAATCTAGTAAAACAAATTGCTCAACATGCTACTCTGGTTAAAATTCTTGGTAATTTGTAACTCTCTATTTAGGAAAAATCTATCTTTAATGGGAGATTCCATTTGTGACTGCCTATAGGGAAAGAATTTTAAAGTCAGCAAGAAGACGTGTTTTTAAAGTTTGTGATATCTTGATTGTGTTTCGAATAATTTTATCTGAAAGCCATCATGGGAATTGCTAATACCATCAAGTCTGACAAGGTTTCTCATCTGGGTAGTTTTCCAGACTGCACAGTTGTTATAATGTTTAATTATTTCCTTGAACAGTTGATTTCATTTAAGATGTTTTTCATTTACAGTCATCAGCAGTTGATAACATCTTGCTCATTTTGAACAGTCATCCTCCATGACTATCTTTCCTGCTCAGTATTTATATTTATTATAAAAAGGGCTGGGATGAAGTCTTACTTTGATCCTATTGGTTTAACATTATTCTGAGTTATTTAAGAAAGGTTGTTTATTTGTATGTTTTAAGAAAGCATTTGTCTGGTGTTATCACATCTTTTGAGAACTATCCTCAATTTTTAAAAATCAAATTGCAACTAGGATCATCTTCATGAATGATTTTTGTATTAAAATGACATCCTTGTTTATACATGAGGTCCCAAAATTATATAATTATTTCCTGAGGGATGTAGACAGAGAAATCAATTGACGGAATTCATGGATGGAATACAGTTTCATCATGGTGAGCAAGGAGAGGCGGACAGGTAGCCTGTGTCTCATCTTTTCCTAATCCACTCATTCTCCACAAGCTCCTATAAATCCCTTGTCAGGTCCAGCCACTCTGGTCCTTTCACTAAGGATTAGAAAAGTAAGACCTGCTCTGCCTTTGGTGATCTTCTCAAGTTAATTACCTCTACGTACCTCGGTTTTCTCAGCTAGAAACCAGGTCTAATAAAGGGTACCAACCTCATGGGGTTGTGAGGGACAAATATGTGTGCAGTGTCTAAATTGATGCCTTGAAAAAAAGTGCTCATTAAAGACTGGCTATGTTACCATCATCATCAGTTTATTGGAGTATGATAACTAGAAGGGATATTTCGCTCTGTGTATGTAGCCATGGAGAGCAGCTGCCTCAGCCAGGGCCTCTGACACTCAGTGTAAACACTTAGGAGGCAGGAAATGGGCTCTGGGCTCTGGACGCCTGGGGAAAGGAGTCCTTCCTTCATCTACCCCAGACTCAGGCCGGCTGTCGAGCCTGCTGTATGGGCTGTGTGGATTATCGTTCCCTTCTTCATGCCTACTACCCACTATAGCTCACGGAGCCCCTCATAAGCTCCCCTGGACTAGGAGAGAGCTCCTCCTGGCGCAGACTGCCCTTTCGGAAAGGCTGTGCACACGCTGTGTGAGGGCTGTGAGCACAGACGTTCTGTAGAATTCGGCCTATCAGAGAGCACGCTGGGGCTCTCCTTTATGATGCTCCCGGAGAAGATGCTCATTTGCATCTCACGTGGGCTCTGATCAGCGCCTCCAGCCATCCAGATGCCGCTGTCTTCTCTTTCGTCAAACATGTTGTCTCACATGACAGCCGTGCAGAGTGTGCCGCCTCCTCCCCTCTGCAGTGTGCCGAGTGAGTGGGGCCACGTGTAGGGTCTGGCGCTGTTTTCCGTGGTGCTCAGCCCAGATGGAAGAGATGGGGCATCTGGGGGCTGGTGGGGACACTGGGAATCGTCCTGACAGCCCACGAGTGAAGAGGAAAGAACACGGATGTGCGAATTCCCATTTGTCCACCTGAAGCCTTTTCAGTTCTCTACGTCCCAAAATTTTGCTTTGTCAAATGAGGACCGGTTTCAACTCTCAGAGCTTCAAATACGTACTTTTAAAGCGGAGAGAAAACGAAGGCTTAAAGAGGCCACAGGCTCCGCAGTGACTAGGCCCCTCGTGTTTTGGCAGGTCTTCTAGTGACTCCCAGACCCTCAGGCTTACTGCCTTTGTGAGCTAAGTAATACTTCTTTTCCACTGGGAGAATTCTCGTTTAATTTTTTTTCAGGAAAAAAAGAGACAATTTCCAGTATTCTTGCTCTGGCATTTATTCCCATTTCATTTCATTTTTATTTTGTAGTCATTGATTTACAAAATCATAAGAATTCCAAATATAGGGTTCAATATTTTGAAATTTATACAATTGACAGTATTTTCTTATTTTATACAGTGAGTCTAAACCCAGAACATTTTTCTTAAGACTTCTTTTCATAGCCATCAAATTCATAGTACTATTATTTGATCACCAATGTACTGATGAATAATATGTAGTAGTCCTAGTGACAGTTGAGGTTTTAAAACATCTTTTAGATAATAAAGGTAATAATTTGACCCTTTCAACTTCAAAAAAGCATTTACTTTATTGAATATGAAATAAATGAACTCATATTGTCTGTTAAGTAAAACATTTACTTTATTGAATATTACTTTATTGAACATGGGTATTATTTTAATAGGGTAAATTTAGTACTGATTGAAGAAGCTAACCCATCTATTCTTTTATTTTTCTGTGAGAGTTAGTTCTATTAAATTACACACACACACACACACACACACACACATATATATATATATATATATATATATTTTAATTAATTATCATAGTGTCCAGGAAAAAAGGTGTCACAGGCAGCAGTTGATACCCTTTGAAGAGGCATACTTATGTTTTGAACAGTGTTAGACAAAACTCTTATGTTAAACCAAATCAGTTCCTGCATATGTTAGTTTTATATGTTTGTATTATTGTGAAAAAAATTTTTGTACATAGTCCAAGTTTTGTATTTCAATGAGAGTTGAAATAAGTATTAAGTGTAATTTTGCCAAAACCCACATCTTCTCTTGTACAGGTTTTATTTGTACAAAATAAAAGAGTCCCCGTAAGGCGGCTTTTTTTAGCAGCCTAGGAAGCACAGTAGCTGGAAGTGAAAAGATCAAATTAATTTAGAATCAATAGGATGAGACATGTGCTCCCCCTCTGTAGCGTCTCCCAAGGACACTTCACTTGTGTGAAGTGATTAAAAAATGAAAAATCAGGAGCAATTTAGATCTCAGAGCTGAACAGAGCATAATGGGAATCAGCATAGCCCCGATTTCCCCCTTGGAGGTTCCCACTTGATGTTCTGTGTCTGTGACTTCTCTTTGGAGACGTGTCCTGCTTGCTTAGTCACCGTGCCTTTGTGCCACCTCTAGCAAGTCATCAATTCCCCTTAGCAGACTCTGACTGTCAATGCTGGAAGCGAGTGTGACGATGCTTTCAATCTGTGATATGACTGGGCCTGAATTATAAAGGAGATGTAAATACATGGGTATAAACAGGGAGGTTCAGTTAAGGACCTCACAAATATCCAGCCATTATCCACACCCCTGTTTACTGTGGAGGCGGTTAGGTTACATTTAGTGAGTCATGTCTGCCTTCTCTATCAGTTTTATATGTGAGCAGCGTTTATGGAGGACTTCCCATAGGGAGTGTGTAAGTACTTTGCTCATTATGTTGTCACTCCCTTTATTTCTCATAAGAACATTATGAGGTCTGCTGTAGGCAGAATGATGGATGGCCCACACTGATGCCCGTGTCCTGCCCCCGAATCTGTGAATCTGCTATGCTACATGGGCAGGGGAGGAATGGCCTTGAGATGGGAGAGGATACTGCGTTACACAGTGGGTCCAGCGTTCTCACAAAGAGAGGAGGCCTGTGAGTCAGGGCCAGGTGATGCCGGATGACAAAGGCTCAACTGGCCATGACTGGCTTTGAAGACGGAAGAGGGGGTGGGGGACAGGAGCCAACGAATTCGGGCGCCTCGAGAAGCTGGAGAAGGCAGAGGGATGGATTCTGTCCTGGAGCTCCCAGAAGGAAGGCAGTCCTGCTGACAACTTAACTTTAGCCCGGTGAGAGCTGTTTCAGATTGCATACTTCCAGAGCTGTAAGATGATAAGCTTGTGTTGATGTAAGCCAGTGAGTTTGTGGTAATTTGCTACAGCAGCAATAGGAAGCTAATACACGGTCCGTTTTACAGTTAAGGGCAGTGAGGCATAGGTTTCCTGCTAAGGTTCATACAGTTGTCCAGCGGTGGAGACTTGTCACAGTATCCTCCAGGCAATGAATTCTCTCCACTCCTAAAAACAACCGCAAAGCCAGCGGCACCCGTTTCCTCCTTCCCCACCCTGAAATGTGCTGCACATTTGACCAGGTGAATGATGTGGATGCAGTGGTTTCAATTTGCATTTTGGCTGCGTAGGCTCTCTTGATTTAAGGGAGAGAACATATCACACATCTTTAAAAACCCCTCCAGTCCTGTCTCCTTACTCTGAAAGTCAGACCCACAGACACCAACCAGGTGAGCTTCTTGAGTCACATATATTTTTTGGGGGAATTTTCAAGTCTTCTCCTGTAGTGTCTATGACTTGCGTTTCAGGTTCTTCACAGCTTGCTAACCCTAGGAAAGAGATGATTGGCCTCAAAAGCAAAAAAGACATGATGCCCCTCTATTCTGGATGGGAATTGTTTTAAAAACCTTACAGTTAGCACAGCCTACAGTAGTTTTTACCACCTCGGTGAAGCGTCTGGTCTAGGTACACATATGACCTGTTGTTATTAGACATTGATTTCCTGAAGAGACAAAAGGAAGACAAATGTCCTATAGTTGTTTTACTAGACGGCGCGGGGCTGCCCGTTAGCATTGGCTGGAGGAAACCCCCTTTCCACTTAACAGTAGGAGTGTGGTCTAGTTAGCTACCTTTGTTAGGATTCCTATGCTATGTCTCTCCTTTCTTCATGTTTTTTAGGCTTATCCTTTTGAGAAAGGACAAGTCCAAAAATGCACTTTACATTCTGACCACTAGCTTTCTGGGAGAAAGAGTTTCTCTGCTCTAACAGAAGGGTTTTGGTGGTTGTACTTGTTCCAGTAGCAAAAAGGGTTTCAGCGCCACAAGATATTTGTAGGTACATTTTGCTTGTTTCAAGGTATGAGAACATAGAAGGGAGAAAAGCACACAGGAGCCGAGACCTTCAAGGGATTTAGACACGAGGCAGCGCTCCTTCTGTGAGTGTTTTCCTTGGCTTGCCTTTCATTTTATGGCGTACATCTACAGAAAAGCTGAAAACACTGTCATCGTTCCGAACCCGTCAAGGGCATTTCCTGTTATTTGAGAGTCTTTCAGTTCTTTAGTAGCTGAAGATTAAAAGAGTTTCAAGATACAGAATTTTCTGGAAAGGTGAATATTGCCCCATATAAAACATTTAAACCATTCAAATCCTAGGAGTACAAGTAAGAAAAAGGAGGGGTTGCCAGTGGAGAAGAAAGACAGAGAAGCAAACTGTGTAATGTATGAGAAAGCAAGGTTGAAAAACAGAGCTAAAAGAGGTGAGAATGGGTATTTCAAGAAGGAATAAAAGATAGAAAAGATGGCTGAATGTTTGTGCGTGTCTCTGTGTCTATATAATCAGTAATAGTCTCTATGGCCATCAGATAATTTAGGAAAAGAAATATTGGAAAATTATATTTTCAACTTTATTTTTCAGTGTAAATGCAATTGTTTTCTTATTTTAAATCTCAAAGGAGAAAATGGTAGATGTTTAACTGAGAAAAAAAAACAACCAAGCATTTCTTCTTTTTTCTTATTGCTATTATAACTGTCTCACTATCTCAATGTACTTGTGCTTTTTGTTAGAAAATCTTGAGTGGCCTTTACAAACTAAATTACAGCAACTTAACATTGAGCTCAGCTATGACTTGGGGTTCAGGCAGGACACGTTGAGGTAAATTCCAGTGCATTACAAATCAGATCTCCCCCCTAGAGGTCGCCCTAGGTCCTCCCCCACCCCAACCCTAGTTCTGGCGGTCTATCAGAAATACTTCCTGCGTTGGTCCTCTACAAAAATCCTTCAGCCATCTAGACCGGTTGTCCATCACCTTTGACTGAACTGCCTGGGTCTTCCGACATATAGCATGGACTGGATTACTTTTCTGATATGGTGATTTAAAAAGGAATTTGATCATGTTAACTCTCCACTCAAAAGTTGTCAGGGTCCTCTCTCCCCCAAAACTTAGATTACAATCCATTTTCCTCAATCTGGCATTAAAATTTTTCATGTCCTAGACTTGACACTTCATTGCTACAACTTCCCAGTTTAGCGGAAGCTCCAAACCATCTTCTTTAAACCCATCTGCAACGCTGCTGGGTTGCTTGGGGGCCAGGAGGACTGCCCAAGTTCAATTAAACTTTCAGATGGCCACATGTGCCACCTGTGCTCAGGATAGAATCAGTCTCCAGAGGGACAGCGGGAGGGGTTCCCCCAATGTGGAGCGGTTTTCACAGCTGCCTGGGCAGCATCCCATATAGTTCAGGTTCAAGGTCGTGAGGGTCCCATAGGGCAGGTGCTGACTCACCCTGGCTTAAACGCCTCATAGCCCACAGGAACCAGCATCTCTAACAGAAATTCCATAGGTACTATTTCCAAGTTACCTGCACGGAGCTTCTCAGTTACAAGAATCACTGTACCCAGCGATGCCCATGTCAACGACTCTCCATCAAGTTGGCAGATCATCTAGCTTTTCATAGTCCCGATGCCACTGGCCGGGCAGGGATCAT